TTATCTCAAAACAATTTTCCCTTGACAAAATCTAGTATCAATACCACTAGGGTTTAGTCTAACGTTAACCGCGACTAATTAATAGTGTAGCTATTATTATTATATAAGCGTTAAACAACACTCTATATAACTCATAATAATAGCCCAAATAATTATTTTAAGGACCTAATAACATTACTATAATTATTTAAAAGCTATATTAAAAATTTCATAGGCGTAGCTCACTTACAGCGGATTTTAAAGAAAACCGGGCTTCGCTTGGAACAGCGTTTCCGAACCGAAAGACCTTTTTTCTCGGGACTCTGGGAGCCTCGGGGCTTCCTACGGGTGCTAGGGGGTTTTCCTAGGGTTTAGGGGGGGGGGGGTTAGAGGGGTAGTGAGAGAAAGTAGAAAGAGAAAGAGTTGTGAAAATGTGTGAAAAACTCGGAACCCTTCGCAGCCTATTTATAGGCGCCTGGCTTCGAACTACGCTGCGCGTTCAGCAGCACTACGCTGGGCGTAGTTCGGATGAGGGTGCCAGGTCGATCCAGCTGTCTCGCACTTCGGACTCGTATGGATAAGAACCGAAGTACGTTGGGCGTACCCGGCCTCGGACGCGGGGCGTAATGGCGAGGCAACGTGTCGTTCATCGGATGCGAGGCCGTGGGGAGCAAGGGAAGGCTAGGATCGTGCCACGTCATCACAGTTTCGCAAATTGCACACTTAACTTCTAAAAATAATAACTCTCGCATACGAGCTCCATTTTCGACGTTCTTTATATCCACGCGTAGGCGGGAAGGTACTCTACAACTTTCGTTTAGACTTCGTTGGCTAATTTTGACTTTATTTTAAAGGTTATATTTTTAACAGGCCGGGACATGATTGGTCTGTTAAAAATTCATAACTCCTTCATCCGACGTCCGTTTTCGTCTGTCTTTTTATCGTTACGCTACTATTAACGAGATCTTCGATTCTTATTTAGGTTGTGTTGCTCAAAACCGCTCGATCTAATACTCGAACTTCGGACTGTACACTGCTAAGCCGAAACTTCGAAAATCATAACTTCCTCATACGAAGTCAGATTTGGGCTTTTTTTTATGGACGCTCTCGGTTTAACGAACACTACGACTTTCGTTTAGATCGCTAAGGCTAAAAATCGCTTTATCGTAAATTCACTATTTATGCTTCCCGGTGCCGTGCCGGTTCCGTCGTGAAACTTCGACGGGTCATAACTTCTTCGTTATAACTCGGATTTCGGTGTTCTTTATATGTACGAAAACCTTGAAACATATTCTACAACTTGGTTAAGATTATTTATTCTAAATAATCTTCTATCAAAAAGTCATTTTTGACACTCATTGTCTTTAAATTGACTAGCCCGGATCTACGGACGTTACAATTATATCCCCCTTAGGATGATTACGTTCCGGAATCATCAACGAAACAGTGTTGTATAATGACTCCATACGTTATCTTTTCATCCTAGGTAATAATTGTATCTTGTATGTTGTTCAAACCAAATGGGTAGTTCAAACCAAATAAAATAATGTCAAATAGTTTCAACCATCAAAGCAAATAAAACCTACATAAACAGAAAACGCAAAGTTGAAATAGTTTTAAAAAAGATCATGCACTTAAAATACACATGATAATTGGTATTAAATGCATAAAGATGCATTTATTTCTCTACTTTTTGATTTGGAAGTTTTGTCTAGCCTTGTCCCAAAAAGCCATCTTCCATGATAGCTGAATGTGCTTTGTCGATGACGTTGATGCTAGTTCATCAACATTATACACTAAAGATTGTGTTTTAGCTATGAATTAGGAAATACAACTTTAGAAAAATGGTTTTTGGCCAACAGACTTGTCAATGTGCTTTTCTCAACATTGGTGGATTCAATGTTGAGAAAAGCACATCGACAAATCCGTTGGCCAAAAACCAATTTTCTAAAGTTGTATCTCCTAATTCAGAGCTAAAACATGTTCTTTAGTGCATGATGCCAGTAGTAACAGAGGTTGCAGTGCTGAAAGAGTTAATGAAATTACTCATGTACGATCTTGAACTCTAATTGGGAATTTAAACCTAAACATATTAAAAAATAATGAAATATTACATTAATTTGTAAAAAAAATAATAATAAAGAGAAAGCATAAAGTATTTGTTAAATACACTGGAACAACATAAACGACTTTATCTTTGCAAATTAAGGAGGAACACATAACCATTTCTCCACCGTCTGTTCCATCATTTTACTCAATATTCATAACCATTTGTTGATCAACCTTCTTATGACACGATTTACATCCCAAATAATTCCATGATAAATCGGTGCACACATGCTTAATTGTACCAAACATAATTACTTGGCCTTCTTGTAAAATGTTGAAGTTATTTTACTATACACTCAAGGTGAATTAATTAGCAAACCCTTTCGATTTAGATTTTCACCATAACTTTAACATTTGTTTTGGAATTACACTGTCATTCATAAACAACCATAACAACCATCTTTAAAAATGAAGCATATTGGAACATCAGTTGTTTTGGCATTTTAAAATTTTAAAATACCAGTAGAATTAATTAGCAAACCCTTTCGATTTAGGAAAAATTAATTGAAAATAAAGTAGCGAGACATGTTCCTATATGCAGTGGATTTATAGGACCAGGTTAGTGAGTTTTGGCAGATCAAGCGGTGGCTACTTTGGCAACCTAGGGTTGATGGGGTTTGGAAAATTTTGATGAATTATATTATATAACAAATCTTGTAATATAACAAAAAATAATAATAAATATTATAAATAAAAAATATATACAAAATTAGTAAATTGGATAAATACTTTTTTATCAAGTAATATCATAGCAATACAAACATATGACTCAAACTTTCAAAGTGAACTTCTAATGCGACAAATCAAGTTCGCTAAGTAGCATAACGTTATTTGAAGCCGTAAATCTGTAACACGCACAACAATAAAAGCTATATTGTACACAATTCTCATAAAATTGAAAGTCATGATTATTTTCATCCGATTTGTGTATTTTTCATCAAAATATACCAACGAAGATTAGATTGCAGCAATGGTTACTGTTGAAGTTAAAAAAACAAAATAGCTATGATTAAAGTTCAATTCACGATTTACAATCAATGAACTAACTGTGGCAATTCAAAGTGGAAATAAAAATAAACTTATATGATTTATATGGAAGTAGACTTTGCAAATGCTTATGGGATGCAAATGTCTATTAGTGTTGATTACATAAAGGTTTGGTCTATTATGTTTATGTTTTCGGTTTTTGATTGGAAACAATTATACATGAAGCTTAATGAATCAAGTTTTCAATGACAGACTCTTGCAAATGAAAATGGAAGCCACAAGAGTCACTAACTCATGTATGATTATATCATACTATATACAATCGAAATTAGGTATCATATGATTTTTTTTTTTTTTTTTTGTCAGAGGCATTTTAGCAAACGCATAGAGTGCGAAATATGGACATTTTAGCAAACACATATAATTAAACATCAAAATGAAGTATTCGATCAAGACATAGTTGTTGCATATTATGTATAAGAGGAACGAAGTAAAAACATACCCGTATGTAGAGCGACTTGAAGGAGAATAACGATGTAGTTCGACTCACAGATGTGAAATTCTGACAATACGGATGCTTGATAGCAAACGTATTTAAAGGCAATTTTGTTTATGGAATCCATTCTGTCTCCTAAATTATTGATATATTCCGCATGATTTTTCAATCATCGGCTTAATCGTAGCCTATAAGTTTAGCAAAACTTCAATTCTCTATAAAACTTTGATGATTTTGCAGGGATTTAACATTGAATCCCGATTGAGTACAGTTGTAGGGGTAAATCCTCACAAAAATACTAAAGATACATACACGTTACAATTGTACTCGTGATATAAGGACTATCAGATTAGAAGGAATTAATTACATTTTTTATATAATTAAAAAAACCAGAAAATTACACTTGGAATTAATTTAAGTAAAAAAATACCAGAATATTACATGTGGAAAGAAGGCCTAAAAATGTAAAATGTGGCATGTGGCAGCTAAGATCCTTATTTATTATGGAGGATTTTGGCATTTAACTTTTGTGAACAAATACAATGATGTAAAACCATGTATGTTGTATCATTCAATGTGTGATGATGATGTTGTATTTGATTCAATTATATACACTGTGATGATATTACAAGATGAAGTCACCAAACCCCCGAACGTTTCCGCCGTCTGGTTCGGAGATGTGACAATAAATATATAAAAATAGATATAAATACATAAAAAATATGTTTATATATTATATACAAATTTTGACGAAATCTGCAGAAAAATCTCATTATTTAGAAAAAAAATAACAATTTGGTCTCATGACCTGCTGAACAGGTCAAAAAGGGCTAAAGTAAATAAATTTGTCGGTTTCTTGGGTTTTTCTATTTAAAAAGGTAAAAAGTTAGGACTTTTCCGTTCAAAAAATAAAATTTAGAACTTTATTAAAAATTTTCCCAAAATATTGGGACTTTTCTGGAGATTTCCCAATAAACTTATAAATAAAAAGTTTCAAAGCGGGTTAATGTGTTTCGGACTTGTTCATCAAGTTCCAAATTTGTTCTTTGTGTTCAAAACTCTAAGTTGATGCATCTTTTTTTGGAAAAACATGGTTAGGAACCAATAATCTAATGAATTTCAAAGCGTGATACTAGAGAGATTACCGTTTTTCTATAGTTTGTAGACTTTCAAAGTCGAAAATGCAAGAATGGATGCGGTTTAAGGAGCTCAGAAAAATGATTTAAGAAACATCTGAAAGCTGCAATATTAGCCCTTAAATTTTAAGATATAATCAATAATAGTAGTCATTTTGATGAATATCCATTTTGTATCATAGCAGAGAGTTGATGTTTACTAACTAATCGGGTCGGGTCGGGCCGGGTCTTCTCTTTCCAATACTTCAAGAATCAACCAATTTGAATACTTCTACTCTAATAAAAAAACAACACACTAAATGAAGTAAAAAAAACACACAACACACATACCATTTTTCAACCTCAACCACTAACTCCACATCAAACCCTCCCTAAAAAAAACACTTCCCGTTTTAACATTTATCTGTAAATTCTTTTTGATTTGTATGTATATATAAAAACTCACATCCTATAAAAAAAAAAAGGACACATTAAAATTAATTCAAAATCTACAACACAAAAGCCCATTCCTCCATCCACGATGCTTCTGTAATCTTCTCCGGTCAGCTTTCGCCATCCTGACCGGGCTGCTGTTCCACTCTGTCTGCAGTCTGTATACACACACAAAATATTTCCGGTCAGGTCCGGTCAGGTGAAATAAATTAAAATTAAAAAAAAAATATTATGATTATTACATGGGAAAGGCAAAGGATCTGGTGCTGGTTGTGCTGCTGTCTGACCGGAGAGAGATGCTGCCCGAAAACGCAATCTGCCCGGAATAATTTATGCGCCCTGAAACGGGACCCGCAACAGAGAAACTTGACTCTCCTTCACCACGTTCATGAACATCATGGAGACCATTGGAACTTACAGTTTTGCCATTGGTTAGATTCAAAGTGTTGTTTCCTTCTATACTTGTGCTTACTTCTTCTTCACCTTCATTTCCTTCTACACAACTCTGCAATTAGAAAACTCATATCAGAATCAGATTTGTGTTTGGATGGGTTTACAAGGGCAAATTGGTCATTTAATGAAAGTACTAACCTGAGATGGGTGTTGATCTTTATCATCAACACCATTGATGGATTCAAGAAGGGATTTAAGTGATGGAAGTGGTCGATCTTCATCTTTATCTTTATCTTTATCTTTATCATCCAATGAAACAGAATTCAAATCCATCTGTTGTTCTTGAGGGACATAATTGTCAATGCCTTTTGGAACAGTATTAGATTCTGCACATTTTAACTCTTCAGGGGCACATTCGGAAATTACATGATTATCATCTTTAGAGATATTCTTTATCTCATTCGGATCTATGGACTCAATATCTTCTTCTTCTTTGGTCCCACAGTCTTTTGCATCATCATCCTTACAATCTTCATCAAGATTATCTCCAATATCCACAACATGATTTGATTCCTCCATGTAATAATCTTCCATGGGTGAAAATATCAGACTTTGATTGATGATGTCGTCATGTTTATCATGAGGGATTCCATCATCAACACAAATGTCCTTCACATGAAAACCACCTTCATTGTAACATACTAACAATTCAGGAAGTTCACATTCCAATTCCAATTCCATCACATTTTTATCAGTGTAAACTTCTTGATTGTTGTTGTTGTTGTTGTTGACTTTTTCATTCTCTTCATCTGATAAAAATGGATTTGTGTACCTTTTTGGGCTCTCTTTCATGGTGTTCTTCTCCTTCACTTCATCTGTGTCAAAATTACTGTTGTTGGATTCAAATCAAGTATAATAGGGTGGATAGATTTATGACATAAAAATTATGTAAATAAACCTTACCAGATTTCATTATTAACATTAGTTGGAAAAGTTTGGAGAATTCGCAAGAGCTGTGATGCAAACATTAAAGAGACACCACCTACAAAAAAGAAAAGAGAATCCAATTTATAATGATTGACAGCAGATAACACGTTTTAAAGTCAAACTGAAAACCCTACAAAAAAAGTCAAAAGTATGAAAACCCCATTTCAAAGGAAGTGTATGAGGCCAAAAATTCAAAGGCTGTAGGGAAAAAGTGACCACAAAATATTGTCTATATATAAAATAGTAGATGTGGAACCACATCTAGTTGCTCTAAAGACAAATTATAAAGCTTATCTGGTATATGAAATTAAAAAAGTAAACCATGATAAGAGAAATATTGAGCAACTTAACAAGAAGTCAAAATGAAAAAAGAATCAAAGTTGTCAGGAACTTGTAACCAAAAACAAAACTTAAATGGATTCAAAAAGAATAAGCAAATGAGAGGTATACAATATTACAATGAGACAAGGGAAAAGACAATACATAAAAGTTAAAAAAGTTATATTAAAGAAAACCCACTAAAACACTTCTCAAGAGTAATTCCACTACATAGAACAGCTAAAAAAGACTTTTTTATAATCCTCAGGTATGTACTCTTACAATCTTCTTTTTGTCAGTTACCCTGATGGATCAAAAGACCCAATTTTTTATAGGGTTTTTCAGCCAAAAACAAACAGTACTTTATATAGTTTACAATTTCATAACCAGATTTCATAAACCCTAGGGCGAAAGAATTAAGAATTCTGAGCAGAATCAGATCCTAACAGATTTGCACTTTGTAAGTGCATATCAACGATGAAAAGTATAAAGGTGTATATATAAAATATAAAAATATATACATTTAACCACAGTACCTGTACACCGAATCAACGAAATTAAACCCTCATCCGTCTCCTTCGCTTGCTTCAGACAATCGACACTGCAAAACAAAAAATCTCAAACAGATTTAGATTTTTTTTTTTCTAACAGATGTGATAATCATATACAGAAACAAAACTAGAATTACACGCTAAACTAAACAAATCAGATAAAGAAAAATTGAATTGAAAATTCGGTAACAGATCCGATATTAGCGGCAATGATAGATACAGAGAAACGAAAAGCGAGCAGATAAATAAAATTCATGGCGTTCGATTTGTGTATGTTGCGAGATAGTTGAAAGGAGGGGGAAACATGAACTCGAGCCACTTACAGAAAATGTCAACCCTCGAAAACCTAATTACTCCCAATCTATTCCTTACAGTGCATTTAATATGTAATATTAGACAGATATGGAATCAAAAGAGCACCTCCACTAAAAAAAGTAGCATTAATTACACAGACAAAACGAAAGCTCCAAAAAAAAACACAGTAGTTTTCCTTCAGAAACACATTATGTATTTACAATTAGAGATCCTCGATGAACAGATTTCAAAGTCGCTCACCTGAAAACTTTTGAAATTGGTTTAGGCCTTCTTCGCCGGAGATCTCGGTAACATTTTGAAATAACTCAGAGTTCCGTTAGTGTTATTCGTAGATGATTAGTAGTTAAATGTTCAAAGACCGATGGCTGGTGGTTTGTGGCCGGAGAAGAGAGAAACGCTGCCGGAAAAGTGAAGAGAGATGGTGAATCTGTCCAAAACAGAGAGGCAGTCAGATGTGAGGAATGTGAACAACTCATCAACCTGTCAAATTGGGTGGGGAATGGGGATCTCTCTCTCTTTTTTTCTTTTTCTTAATATATATTTTTTTAATTGAATATTTAATGGATTTTTGTGTGGGACCAGCTGTTTTATTAGATGTGGGACCCACTTTCCACCAGCAATCTCATCAATGGTCATATGGGTCGTGGTTTGGTAATTTGGTTGAGGACCATGGTGTGTTTGCTACTTTTTCTAATACCCTAAAAGAAAGAGAAACATATATAAGAGTTATTCAATAACTAGAATGTTACAATACATAGAGGTGCATAAAAATCGAAACAGTTTTGGATCCGGTTTGGCAGACCCGGTTTGAATCGAGTTCTCGCAACTAGACGTTAGAAATTGTTTTTTCTAATAACGAAACCGTTTTCTAGTCGTTTTTTTGCATAATGACCCATTCGCCCTTCATTTACTAGTTGAATATGTATTAGATGTGTTAGTTTTGGTCACACTACTCAAAAATTACTTATTAGCTTTTCTTACTTCTCTTTGCAAGCATCGATTTTGATGGTGTTTTGGAGGTTTGTCGACCAATGAAATGATTGTCAAGATCCAAACCTACAAAAAGAAACCTGGAAATTTGACAACATAGTGAAATATCGAATGGTAAAAGGAAAGTTCGGTGGAACAAATGTGGTAGACGGGAATGCAACATTAAAACCATGCAAATTTGGATAGCAAAATGGATTGGTCCGGATCACCGTTAAGTAGGGATGAGCATCGGAACCGGGTACCCGCTTTTGGAACCGGAACCGCCTCGGAACTGCCGGTTTTGGAACTGCAACCGCCTTAAGCGGTTCCGGTTCCGGTTCCGGTTCCTAAAGTTATGGAACCGCCTTAAGTGGTTCCGGTTCCGGTTCTCGTTTTTTCGGAACCGCTACCCGCTGGAACCGGTTTATATATATATATATATATATATAAACACACACACACTTTTTAATATAAATATGTGTGTTACTTAGGCCGATTTAGAATCTATTGGTCTGATTTTGTCCGTTTTTGGTCCGAATTGATTTGATTTGGATCGAACTAAATTGCGGTTTTATCGACAAAAGTTAACAAAATTAATGTAACCGGGTTACCCGCTCCTGGAACCGGAACCGCCAGTTCCGGGACTGGTTCCAAACATTTAAGAACTGCCTAGAGCGGTTCCGGTTCTCGTCAAATGAGGCGAGTACCCGCCTAAGCTCATCCCTGCCATTAAGCAACAATAACGAATCAAGGCACCATCTGCAATTAAAGAACAAAGTGTGGTATATGAAGTGATGGCAAGATTCGTGATTTATGAAAGTTTGTCTTTCAACCACTTTGACAACCGCCAATCGACAAAGATCATCCAAAATAACTCTTCAAGCTGGTTATTGTTAATCCAAAATAACTCTTCAAGCTGGTTATTGTTATGTAAGTCACGTGACTCTTAGACACAATTGCATTAATATGCAAAAGATTGCTAAAAATGAATTGACCGAAGGTTTAAATAAATTAGAGTCAATAATAAATTTAACTTGCGATGTTTGGACCGCTCCATATAGTTTACCATATGCGTTCCTTTGTGTTACCACTCTAATGTTTGGCATATGATGAAGCAAGGTTACGTTAGCATTGTTTGGATATATATGCAAACCAAAAATAATTTATATAAAATTTTATATTACACAATAAAAAAACTTATAAAATGCAAAACAAATTTTTTTCTATAATTTTTGATAAAGCATCAAACAATACCATCATGATTGGACAATTAAAAATAAAATATAAACTTTTCATAGTTAATGTGTTGTACAAATCATTAATTTTGTTGTGCAAGAAGGACAAATTGAATGAAATAAAATTACTTTTAAACAAATGTTTTGTGATATTTATATTTGTAGTAAGTAGTAACGCTCAGTGGCATAAATATATGAAGTTTTGTAACCATGCTGATGTCATTTGGTTAGGGGCAAAGTGAGAAATAGTTCATCAATGGAATTTGATATTTAATATGTTTGAATGTGCTTTACGACAAAATATATATATATATATATATATATATATATATATATATATATATATAAACGTTTCACGATATATTTGTCGAGCGTCGTAGGGTCGTGCCATGTATGGAGTCTAGTTGGGTAGTTATCAAACAATTAACTGAAATGCTCAGAGTTTTTTTAAAAAAAATAACTACTTTTTTCGTTCGGTAGTTTATTATCCAATAAGGTGTTGTTTGTTTTTTATTTGCAAGTCTTTTCAGACACTTCTGTCTGCGCCGCGCAGACATTAGTCTTCGCAGACTGTTTGTTTTTTTGAAGACCGCAAACCTAAAAATGTATGCACGCCCTCTTCTTGGCGCAGATGTGGATCAGAGTCTTCTAACATCTTCAGACATCTTCTAGCTTAAAAAAAACACATATATCTTTATTTATTTTTTTACTTTTTTTAATTTATATTTATTCAAAGTTTATTAATGATAAACAATTTGAAAAAAAAAAGTTACAATACTTAAAAAAAAAGGTTCGACGACACAAACATAATACTTTTGACAAATTTATAAATAAAGATTTATTACAATAATGGTCGTTGAAGTTGTTTATATAAATATGAAAAAAAATCATAATATATTCTTATATTTTTTGTGCCAAATTTTATAAAACATCATTTAATAAGGTATCGTCAATTTTTTGGGAAAATATTTATGGTACGTTTTTAATTGATTTAATGAAAAAATCGAAGTTTATTTCCATCCATTTATGTATCAAGCTCTTTGATTCCTAATTACAATGTTTAAGTATAACTTTGTGACCAAAATTGTTGGTTTTTATCAAATATATATGTTAATTCGTACCATTTTTATTTTCAGTTTTTATACAATAATAAATAATAGTTGATCTAGATTTGTTAATTATTTAGAAGAAAGTCATAAATATATTAAAAAATCACTTTGAAGTTAAAAAAATTAATTTATTTATATTTTAGTTTATTTTAGTAGTCTGCAGATGTTAAAAAAAACAAACAATCTTCTTTTTTCAGACTGCAAACGTTTGGTCCATCTCTTCTACTACAGAGGTCTACAGATATGGTCCGCATACTGCAGACATTTTACCTCAGAAAAAACAAACAACACCTAAGTTGTGTAGTCCTAGACCGATTTTGTTAATGTGCAAGGCGTTAAACGGTTATAAATTGAAAAGTTAAATGTTTATTCAAACTATATTAAATATATAAAATATTTTAAACACATTTATCCTTGACGAAAATCTTCCAATGTCGATCCTAATCCTACAGTTGCTATCGGTTAAACTATATTAAATATATAAAATATTTTAAACACATTTATCCTGTTATTATTTGGGCCGCATAATTGAACCCAACGATAAATGTTGGAGGGATTAAAGCTTTATTTGAAAATATATCGTATCATTTGGGTTTACAATAAGGTTGTTCACTGTTTGGATAAAACTGTATTGTTCAATTGGATAATTTGGATTGGACTATTTGATTAGGATATTCAGATTTTTGAATTGGTTTACAACAAAACCAAATTATTGTTTTGGATTTCGGATTGGTTTTGGATTATAAAATAAGAACCGAATTGTCCAAAGAAACCAAATAACAATTTATTATTTATTTACTTTTAATATATCTATAATTATTTATTAATTTTATAATTTATTTTTTCAAATAAGCTCAAAAAGTTTCACCTAATAAAAAACATTAATATGAAATTTCTCTCAAAAGTTTTTTTATCTATTAAATATTAAATTATAATATACATTATTAGTAATTGTTTATAAATTTTAAATCACCGGTAAATAATTTGTTTTTTTACTTCTTCTATAAAAATTGGATTATATTATAATTATACGTCGTTTAAAAATGTTATGGTTTTTGAAAACCGAATAAAGAAAACCGATCCAACCGAATTGTAATTGGATCGGATTTGATTTTAGTTTGACTATTCGGATCCATATTTTGAAAACCGAAATGAATTTGGATTTACTTAATTGGATTCGATCAAACCGATCCATCCAAACGAACACCCTAGTTTATGCAATGAAAACATGAATTTTGCAATTAAGGCCAAAGATAAGTTTAACAATATTTGTTCAAAATTATTTGAGGTTTATCTAACGAAATATGGTTCAAAAAATTTACAAAGACTCAATGAGAAATGGTGTGGAATCGTCTAGACAGGTAAAAAATGAAACAATCATACTATATACTCTAATAAGTAAAGCTACTAAATGGGCATGGACTAGCACCCTAGTAGCAAGCTCGGAATGTATATTGGAACCAATTTTTTGCACACACAAGTATATAAGATTTTAAAATTTTAAATGTTTTGGCTTGATGGGAAGAAAGAAATCCCAATTTCTAATTCTAGCGGTTATGGCTCATGATGTACTAACTGTCAAGCTTCTATGGTAGCTTCGAAATCTTTTTTTTTTGTTAGTGGTGAGGTAATCTCTCAAAAAGTAACAAAACTCACCCTTTATATCAATAGAAGTATGCATTTCATTGAAAGACTACTTCGATGGTGTGGAGTGAATACAACATATATCGCCACTAGAAGGCAAACATGAGATGGTCAAAAAACGAAACATAAGGAATAATTAGCGACGATATTGTCGTTACCACTTAGTGCGGAAAAAAATGTATTGAAGCACTGCTAAACAAAAACATTGATGAGTAAATGATAAACGACAAACAATTAATAAACGACCAACATGCAATGAACGCTACTATAAAAAACAATGATGACGATGAGACGACGATGTATTGCATTATAAATGCCCAATTTTTTGTTTTTAGATGTCTATATATATTGCAACTTTTTGTAAGTTTTAAATTTAAAAATTAAAAAAAATAGTTGTTTTTTTTTTCAAACTGTTTTCTTCGATCCAGTTTCCAATCATGTCATACTCATTTATATAGGTTCAAGTTTATTTCATTAGCATTTGGTTTTGGTCTACACCATACTGGACTTCGTTTACCTCAAATCGATTCGGTTTTGAAACCAGTGTGGAT